TATTTTACTAGCCTTTTGTTTGAAATATTTTTTTTTAAAAAAAAAAGCTTGGCTATTTCATAGTTGTTCAGGTTGACACTCTTCAAGTTTTTCCGAGGTGTTTCCCTCATAATTTAATGTGCCTGAATCAATAACCAATTTCTTGAGTCTCTAAACTGCTTTTAATATTTAAAACTAAATGTTCATTTATTTTTTTAGCCTTAGGATTCCAAGCCTTATTCTGAAACGTTGAAGCAATTTTATTATTTCAGTCAGCTATGTGAAATTAGTCATCAAGCAAAAGCCACAACTCTGGTATAAAGCAAGAAGTTTGTCCGAAACCACTATTAGAGCCACATGTTTCTAGAAAGGCACAGTAGACTAAATATGATACTAGATTGGATAGAGCATGCAGACTACATATTAAGTGGTCAAAGAAATGAGGCAATTTACTTCAGTCATTTACTGGAGTTGTTTCCATGGGTTACATCATTTTTACATAAGGTCCAGAGCAGCTTGAACATGATATAATATGAAAGAGCTTTGGGGGAGGACATGCCTGTCTCATTTGGGGTATATGCCTCTAACGTTTGGGGCATAACAGTATAAAAAATTACATTTTTAAATGAAGTGCTGCGTTCACTAAGATTCAGAAGAAATGTTCTGTAGCAAAACTCCCCCAAACAAGCATGCTTGTCGGTGGTGGTGTTTTGAGCCATCGTTGCTGAATGGCCCGCGCTACATTTATTTACCGGGTAATGGTACCTGCCAGCCTTGCTTGGCAATCAAAGTACTCCATTGTTATGAGAACAGACAAGTTCAAATTGGAAAAGTAAATGTTAAACCTGTGATTCTTGTCTTGGGCAAAGCCTGCGGTCTGATTAAAATTGCCGTTGCCTAATAGAAAAATCTTATTGAAGTTCTGAAATAGGCTGGCAGGCTTGGCACTGCAGATGTGGAGGGTGGCTGGAGATAAAAAAAAAAGAAAAAAAAAGTTTTTGAAATCTGGCTGGAGATTTGGAGATTTTCAGCGATGGTATTTGAAGAACCATAGCTGGTCTTGAGTCTTAGCAGTGTTTGTTTACCTTCCGCAAAAATCCATCACAAGTATCCTCTATTTTCTGTAGTGCTGAGAGTGCTAAATGAATTTCCTGCTGCGCTCCGACTACAGTGACTGTGTGAAGGGTTCTTCGCCCCGGAGCTGTTTTCAGCCTTGCTGTCCGAATTCATGACAGTGCCAGGGGCTTGCTCGCTATGCCTGCAAAAACGGTGGCATCGAGAGGATGGGACCGGAATGGGTACGAGTATTGCCTGAAGGTGATGTGAGTTGATTAAGGGGCTGATGCTTTCACTCTTCACCATTAATCAAGCCATGTGCAGTAGTGGCAAGGCTGGATTTGTCAGGTTCACGCCAAGAGCTTTCATCTGTTTGAACACCTTTCGCTTCCTCCGTGACAGTGTGTGTGAAAGTGTGATGGTGTGCCGCCACCTCGTTTCGCACGCGTTAGCCGCCTCTGCTGCTACGGCTTTTGAAGAGGGTCTGTTTGTGTCCCGAGCCTTGCTGCGGGTTAGCGCCTCTCTCAAATTCCATTGTCTTGCATAAGGGTGTGATATTTTAAATTCAAGGCTTGGTAATCAGAGCCGGGGTGAAAACCGTGTCTGCTCTAGCTTTCAGACTGCTTATGCATGAAAAACCTCTCCAGTCGGTGCAAATTCAGCATTACTTATTTTCCTCAATAATCTTTTTGTAAATAAAAAAAATAAAAAGGGGAAGTACCAGTGCAATAGTTGCTACAGACACAACCACATATATTTTGCACTAATGACTAATGCAAAAAAAAAGGAAAGCTCGGTCAAATCCTCTAACCGCATTTTCAGCCTGCTTGGTACCGTCGTCTTTCCTAGTGTTTTCTTCAGTCACATGAGGCGGAGCTGGTATTTCTCGTGCCTCCCGGTGATTAATGCTGATTTTTAGTTAGTGTTTGAGAAAAGAGCATTCTGTGTGGCGTTTTGGGTTTTAATTAAAGGTTTTGTACCTCAGGAGTGGGCGTGAAACAGTGGAAAGCCTGAGACGTGGGGAAAGTGGGTTCTGTAGTTCATCGTCTTCGTTTGGCGTACAGTGAATGTAAGCTCGCGTCCTTTCGGATGCAGAGGTGCGCGCATGGGCGTCTGCGCTCTGACGGCGTTCGTGAGGGCGTCTTGCATCCCTGCAGCTGCCTTTTGGCCTTCTCAGCTTTGCAAAAGATAAATTTGTAGCTGAACACCGTGTCTAAGTTTGGGGAGGGAGGTGTGACCCAGGATACGCTTCAGCTTTCACCTGCAGTAGAAAGCCACATCCTGGTTTACCTCTATTCTTTGGACTTTCAAGGCGTTGCTGTTTCAGTTAAATACTCTGGCTTCAGCTTTTTTGTGAAGCCTGGATAAAAGCGTAACTTGTGCCGTGCCATTGCCAAAAACTTGCACAGGAGGTTTCTCTCTTTAAGCTTTAGCGTGGAGCCATTACAAAAACACGAATAGGTGAAGTCTTGCCAGCGGGGAGACTGGCTTGTAAGCTGTACCACCTGGGCTGGGAGTCGAGTCTTTCCCCATTCACCGTTTTGTGTATTAGTTGATTTTGAGCTAACGGTTCCAACACGTGCTGCTGGGATCTGCACCTCCTTGCCTGGCGAGGAGCCCGCCTGCGGGGCTCGTACACACCCTGCCGATGGCACAGGCTTCGCTTGGGAGATCCGTTTGCTTAGGAAGCCAGGTTTTCAGAATGAAGCAGAATCTGCGTCTTCAGCTGGAGAGCTCTCCAACGGGGTTTGAAGTTCCTCTTTTCACTGTGCATCCTGTTCCAGAATGAATCAACCAGTTTCACCGACCAAATCCCTTTTTGGAATGGGTTAACATGCCCCACCTTTTTTTTTTTTTTTTTTTTTTTTTTAATTTCCATAGTCTCTCTCTCTCCAAATCTCCTACTTGCCAGTTCATTTCCATTCCATCAGATGATGCACATCGGTTTTATCAAATAATGTAAATAAGTTGTGCAAATCAGACATTTTTTGGTTAGATTTATTTCATGGATTTTTTTTTTCCCCCACTTAGTGGTATGTTCCAATAAAAAGGCAAGCTCCTACATTCTCCTTTCCTCTACTCCTTTCCCTGGGGAAAAAATACACAGCCTGCGTGTGTGTGTGTTTTGAAGCCTTCAGATGCACGTGTTAGAGGGGCCGTGTTAAATTTATGGGGATGGAGACAGCGTTCAAAAATCTTGCATTCAGTTTGCATCCTGAACTTGTGGTTTTTATTAAGAAGCAAACCTGCATTTTAAATAGCGAGTTAAACTGAAATCAATTCAGCAATGGAGTACTTTGGCAGCTCCGGCTCCCTTCGATGTAATGCTTGTGACATGGACATTATTTAGCGAGATGGGTCCATTGATAAGGGAACCTTTTTCCCTAAACTTCTGTAATCCACTGTCAGTAGAATGTGACACTCCAATTAAGCCTCCTTTAGACAGACTGACAGTTATTGCATTGCTAATTGCTGGATTGTCTTGGTGACAGGTCCAGTTTAGGCAACTCCTGCCTGCCCCTAATTGCTTCTTCCTATTTCCGAACCGATTCCTCGGTGGCAGCGCAACTGTGTGAGGCCACGTGATGGAGCGCGTTAGGCGGTGAATTTGGCTGGAATAACCAGTGTGCCTGCAAGGAGACTTAATTTTCGGGTGGTTGTTTTTCCAGGGGTTCATTAGACAAGAGTTATGTACCCTCTAACTCCCTCCCCCCCCCGGCGAAGGATTAGCCAAGGAGCGAGCTGAGCAGTCGATCAGCTGGCACCGCTCCCATGCACAAATGGAACCATCTCCTTAAAAATGGAAAGGAGCGGTTAGGTCGTGCTGTTCGCCATCTGCAAACATACAGCTGCTCTGTGCAGCGCGTTCTACGTCGCTTCACGAGATCTTAAACAAGGCTGCTGTGGTTTCCTTTAACAGACAGCCCAATTAATCTCCTACAAATGTTTTCTGGTTGCTTTTTATCCCGTCACTCTCTGTACTCCAGCTGTGATGCCAGTGCTGAACACTGAAATTCAGCTTACAGTTTCTGAAACGTATCGTCGCTTTTGCTGTTAGGTGACTTGCATGCTCTTGAAACTGGATTGCTCTTTAAGTTTCGGGGTTGGGCTATAGATATTTGTCGTCATCTTAAATTTTAGGATGCTCTACTGAGCCAAACATGATGCGCTACTCTTAAACAAAAAATCACCATACTGAATACTTAATAAATAAATTTTTAGTGGTAACTTCAGGATATGGGCTTGCTGGTCTTCTGGTTTTATTAAAAAAAAAAAAGGGAAAGTAATAATAATAAAAAAGGGTATTAAGTGTCATCTTAGTTTGCTGATTAAACAAGACCATTTGGCAGGGAGGGAACCTCTAATTGCTTCCACATGTTTAATCCTTGAGCTTGGATGAGACCCTACCCTTAGTTCACTTCAAGAATATGCTAAATTGTCCGTTTCTGACAAAATAACTTTGTTATAGCTGGTCTGGTCCACACTAATTTTGTTTTACGATCTCCCCATTATTATCTTAGTTCATAAGAAAAATATGCCTTAAGCCAAAGACAAAAGCAAAAACCATTTCAGTTGCAGATTTTTATGGTTGGTTGTGAGCGATTGCCATTGAAGTAGGTTCTGGGTTTGAGCTGTACTTGTCAGCTGCTTTGCCCTGTAACTTTTAAGATATGAAGAGATTTCATCTCCAATCCCACGATTAAACTGTTAATCTTTTGTGATTGTCCACCAGTTGTCTCAGTGGAAAATCTGGGGGAGAAATAACCTTCCCTTTAGTAAGACACCGTCGCAATTTGAGCGGTCCTTTTATTTTCTGTGCCAGGTTTTCATGGCAACTTTCTCAGCTTCTGGTGAAACTACTAAAGAAAATCTCTTCGAGACCATTAAGGAAGGTTCTGTCGCCCTTTGTTCTGCATCTTTTGACAATGTAATAGTAGCTAACTTCCTTTTTTTTTTCTTTCCAGTATTGTTCCACTTTTAAAAGAATCCATTGGAATTTTGATGCAGCGAACTCCTCCTTCCCTGGAAAACGTCCTGCCTCAGTGCTACCAGCGGGTGAGCCCTTAGGCCGTTCTTGCTCCAGATGGAGCTGCTGACTGACTGAGCCCAGCTGAGGGGGGGGGGGCAGATTTTGTCACATTTTCCCAGTAGTGCCTGTGAGAGCTTCCTTAGATTGTACAACTGGAGGTGCCAGTTTGACTTTTTGTCTTCCTGAAGTCCTAAGTTGTATGTGGCTTCAGGTCTGTTTGTGTCTTAAAACGTGCTGTGTTGGTTTAGAAAAACAGCTCTTGAAGCTTTTCCTCTCAAAGTACTTTGTCCTCGCACAAGGTGGATGATGTCGCTGGAAGCGTATTTATAGGAGTGCGTAGGTTACTCTGGATTTGACCTCTCCTGGTCCTCCTGTTCAACTTGCTGTGTCGTGAACGTTTGAAGTGCCTTTGCAAAGTTAATGCAAAGCACGTGTAGGAGTGCCACCTCTCCTCAAGAAGTCACAGGGTTGTAATTGTCACGGGGAGGGTTTGCTAAAATCGGACAGAGGAAATAGAAGGATTTTGACAGGACAAGCCTAAGCCCTCAGAAAATATTTACAGAAATATTAATATATTTATATTAATAGTTACGTGTGACAATTGACTTACGGCACACCGGGCCATGAATCTGCTTTTCAGACAACAGTTAGACTATCACAAATTGGTTTATGGGGAAAATTCCTGAATTTGCAAAAACTGATGTTTTAATTGAATACCCTCTCAAATTTATTAACTGTGACATTTCTGTCTTGGCCACCACTGTTTTCAGAAACGATTTCAGTAAAATAGTTGCAGAACGTAAATGCAGCAAGTTACAAAATCTTGACACATACAGGTGGCATGGATGTTCTCACCTTGCTCACAGTTACCGAGATAGTAACAAGGGGTTTAAAGGAAATACCACAAATGGCACAGTGAACTAGGAGTAAAGAAAGCATCAGCTTCTATAGTATTTTCTGTAAAAAAAAAAAAAAGGTGGTACAGATAAACATTTTTCTGAAATACATTTTTAAAAACTTGCTTGTGTTTTTAGGTGCAGCAGTTGCAGGGAGTTTACAGTTTACACGATCCACATTTCTGGACCCTCTGTACTGATGTTTACATAGGGACTTTGAAATTATTAGTGGCTCCGGATGCCGATGGAAGGTGGATTCTAAGCCAGACTCACAATATTTTTACTCAGGTAAGTCTCACCAGTGGAAATCGCATCGCAGAGTGTAAATTCCCTGTCACGTGATGCGACATTGTAATTCTTATCAAGAAAAATGAAATGTTTCTGGGTTTGGTATCAGTGGGTTTTGAAAGCTGCTCTGCTCCAGCCGCACAGAACAATTTCAAAATACTCAGTAGCGTAGATGGCGTTGCTGCACCTCTCTGCATTGTTTTTTGATGCCGCTTAATGGAGATGACAGCCGTAGTTCTCCGAGGTGGATCACATTTAAGTTGAAACCCTATATTGACCTATGAGGAACCAAGAAAACAGATGAGGCTTCCCTCAAGATAGGGCTTCCGACCACAGACTGGGCCTGCTTACGTTTTTCACTGTGCTGATGCTGTACTTGCCATTCATTTCTGTCCCTCTACGAATGTATTTGTCATTCGTGTCCCTTTAAGAATGTATTTGTCATTCATTTCTGTCCCTCTAAGAATGTATTTGTCATTCATTTCTGTCCCTCTAAGAACCCATGGTCTTTGCATATTTTGTTGTCTTCTAGTAACAGCCCTGCTACAGTGATCCCTAGTTAAAGTATAACCACCAGTTGTCATGAACAGCGTGGTCCCCTTTATTTCCCTGCAGGCTATGGGTTTTTATATAGTGATAGCACTTGCAGCTGCTACGAGATGCTGGAATTCTTGCGAACAACAGAAACTTTATTAGAAGTTGATAGTTCTTCCTTTAAGATTAAAGTCTTACAAATTTTCAGAATTTCTATTTTCTATGGCCTCCTTACACTTTTAACCATCAAACCTGAAATTGAGCTTGGCTGCCTATTCCAGTAGAGCTGCTGGATATGAACGGTTTACAGGTAGAGCCCAGAGTCTTTAAGATAAAATAGAAATTCTTCTCCAGCAAGAGAATTCTGTGAAGAATAAATAAAGCTGGAAACTTACTCTGTCTCGCATACCATCCAGAGCCAAACAGCCTGGTTTTATTCTTGAGGTTGGAGGACTGCATTTGAGAAAACGGTTATATTTTTCCAGAATGTCCCTTCTCGTTTTTAAGTAACGGAGAGTTCTGTAGCTGATAGGAGACAAATGTTCCCGTTTATAACCCCTGCTTTAGGTAACACAGTACCGCCAGCTAAAGGGTAATGTTTTGGAGATATGTAAATCACTGACTTCTCTAAGGCGGTTGGACAGTGAGGAAAGGGGGCTTCTGACCAGGTAGATTTGTAAATAAAAAATGCTTCTGTCACCAGTTTAATTAGTGCTTGCATAAATGTTCTTTTCAAAGCTTTCTGCAGTGGGGAAGGTCCTTGTCGGCTCCCATGCACGTTCTTTCCCTTCTTCTAAATGTTCTACTGCTCTGCTGCATCGGCAGCTTTTGTGTGTGATGGCTCAGTGAATCCTTTAGGCATCTGATAAGCGCCCCTTTTATTAACTGGTTTATAACATCTATTAAAAATTCCAGACTGGATTTTTTGTTTGGTTTTAGTATGCATCTTGCATACTCAGTTTCTGGACTCTCAGGAGAAACAGCGCTGAAGCCAAACCCTACAACGTGCCGCCTTAGCGCATGAATTCCTTTGAACTCCTTACATTTTAAGGAATTTTAAAGCAGTCAGTCATGGGGAACCCAATAAAAATAAACACGCATACTTGTTGTTATGTTAGAGAGTTAGGGAAGGAGGATTTGTTGTTACAAATATTGTAAAATCAAGCTTTATTCATAAAGTTTGATCCTTTTTGAGATGTTCCATCGCATGCAGCTCTAGATGACGGAGTAGGCAGAAATCGGTCTGCATGGTTTATTCTGCAGACTGAAACTAAGGGGTATTTTGGGGGAAGGACTGCAGAACATCCTGTTACAAACTGGTTTTACATCTCAGGTCTCCAAAGGGCCTCATTTTCTGAGCGAGTCGTTAGCTCTCCAGCTGTTCTGTAGCTGTGTGTGTACCAAGAGCCGTGTGTCTAGGAAGGGAACTGGGGGAGCGATTCCCTGCCTGGCCTGCGGTGAGAAGCAGAGGAGCAGTGGGAGCCAGGAGAGATTTTTTTTCTCCTCAGTAATATTGGCCCTCGTTAATCTCAGTGCAATTGATTGTTGGTTTTGCTGCTCAACGGAGCTAAAAGCCAGTCGCTGGTAGTTGAAGACAGCCTGATCTTCAGCGGTGGTCCGCCTACCGCTTTGGGGGGGAGCCCGCTGGGCGACCAGTTGCCGTCGCCGCGGTGTTGCTGGCCCACTGCTGAGCTTAAACCAAATGCCTACTTAATTTATTTTTAATGCTGTTTTATACTGAATGATGGTAAACCTAAGCAAGTCCATCTGAGCCTAGCTTAACAGGGTTTCAGAGAATTGGTTTTGTACAATTCACGTACCTTCCCCAGATGTTACGTTAGCGTGTCACGATGGCATGTCCGTTCTCTGTAGCCATCGTTGCTGCTTGCCGAAATCTCGGCGTAGAACTGGTTCAAACAACGAATCCCATGTTACGCTCTTGGGCTTGGCTCTCTTTTAAACTGAGGCCTCTTCGAGCAGTGTACCTCCCCACCTCCCCAGAAGTTAAGCTTGTACAAAAGAAAGGAAGAATCGCTTTTGTGCAGCTTCGTGTGTGACTGTGCTTTAGGATGAATCGGAAAAGGCGATGGAGCAAAGCTAACGTTAATGTCTGATCACGTGTGCGCGCCTGACTGCGTCAAGAACTCTGTTCATACAGCGCTCTCGAAGTCTGTAGGTTTCCAAACTGCCAGTATCTCGGTGAATGATGTGCTAAATGGGGAAGATGAATTACAGAAAAGTAAGATATTATGGAGGTGCTGGCGAGGTAACTAGTGGTGTGGGCCGGTGCTCAGGACAGTTAAATTGCTTTGGCTTTGCAGGGTTTTGTTTTAACGCTCCTTCTCTTTTCCATAGGCAGGAGTAAGACAGCTTTACATACAGATCGATGTCGCAGCCATGTAGGGAGTGTCTGAAACTGTGCTGTTGGACCAAAGTTTCCTGTACTGTACCGGCTAAGAAGATGCTTCTCAAGACAGAGCCTGCCTCCACCGCCGCTCTGGAATTGACTGAATAGATTCCTGCCCTTGGGCTGTGGATGGAGTAAATATTGAATGAATGTTACAGACTTCGGGTCTTGTCTTTTTGTGGCCCCTAAACTTGTAAGTTTTTGAGGGTTTTTTACTTACTAAGATTGTGGTACTGGAAACCCCGTCATGTCTTCAGTAAAGCTGCTGAAACCACTGCTTGTTCCCATAAAACCAGTGTTATCAACAATTGGAAACTCGTTTTCTAGATAATGTCACGATGGCTGACATGCTTCGATAGAATTGTATGTTTGTACAATTGTTTGTACTTTGCAAACTTAACGAACCAAACCATATTGGGTTTTCAAAGTGCCTTTTATATCGGGAGAGGTATTTTCCAGCATCAATACGGAGCATCCAAGGGGTTTATTACTTTTCCAGATATCTTGTATGCGGTCTGATTATTTGCTCGTGATGTAATGGGGGGGTTGTGTATTTGCATAACTGTAGACGTTAGGCGTCCCGTCCCAAACCATCTTACCAAACAGAACAACTCCACATGTAAAAGGCAAAGCTGTTGGGAAGAGACTTGCTTCCAAAACAAGCTGGGTATTGTTGCACGTATCTTGTGGAAACTATTTCAGTCAAAATACGACATTGAACTCCAGTTCTTGGTCTCCTCATACCCTTGAGTAATGAGGCGTTACGTGACGCAACTGGCGTTCGTAGTCGCTGAAACAGCAGGAGGGAAGATGCTGGTGGTGGAAGCAATGCTTGAAGTTTTTGATCTTCCTAATTATGTGACGGGAAAAATTAAATCCCTAAATTGTTTGTGAGAGCTTAAATCTCCTTGATTTTAATCAGTTGTAATATTTTATTATTTTTTTTTTTTATTAAAGTGATTGGTGAGTTAACTTTTGCCTTTCCAAATACTGAGAATAGTTGTTCCTGGTTATACCTGAAATGGAAATAAGGACCATGGTTCGTGCTGTTTAAGGTTACGCTTTGTCCGGGTTGACAAGTCTGATATTTTTGATTATCTTGCCATAGCCTTGTGTGTTTTCATGGGGGGGAAAAAAAATAATTCTCAGTGCAGTAAGCTGTGGGGGTTTTTTTCCCTCAGAACCATTAGTCTGTCGTATCTTTCTAGCATTTATAATCACTTTAGGCTTTCAGATCTGAGCGTTGTTTTCAAAGACAATCTGCTGCACTACCACAGACGAGGATTCCTCTGTGCTGTAGGAGGTAACTTTGGAATGGAAGGGTTTATAAGAGGGCGTTTTTCAAACAGAATATTGTGGAGCAAAACACAAGAGAGGCGTTTCTCTGATAAATTGTAGCCACTACTGACTGGTACGGATTTTAAATATCCTTCTGGTACCTGATGTGTGGCAGTGCTGAAATCGAGGCCCTCCGAAGCCCACGATGTCTGTCTAAGTGCTCGGCACTGTGGAAGTACCGAAGATTCATTTGCAGAAATGGTTTGTTTGCCGCTGATGTTGCCGAATTCATGACAGAGATGAAGAGTTTGTTGCAATCGTTCTGTCGTTCCTATTGCAGCGCCTGAATTTTGATCTCTTTTCTTGTGAAAACACGATGCTTGCCGAATTAATAGCTGGTTCCTGACCTTTCCAGAGGAGATACTGACCCACCAACGCTGATTTTGTACAAAGCTTGGGGGCGTACTCTCGTGCTGGGAACTGAAAACTGGGCATAAAGAAGAACAGCAGCCAAAAGCCACGTACAGACTGCTTTTAGGCTTCCCAGTCTCCTCCCATCTTCAGGCCCTCCCTTACCCCTGTGGCTGGTTTCTGACCCTGTTCGCGTCTCCGGGGGATGGAGGTGCAGCATGCCCCCTTCTGCTCCCCTCGGGCTCCCTCCCAGAGCTCGGCCGGGCCGGGAGTTTGGCTGGGGGACGGGGTCTGGAAGTTACGGGGCGCAGGGTAGAGCGCAAACATCTGCAGAGCAGATTTGGGGATTGCAGTTTAAGATACCGATTGTATATATGGTCACAGAAAAGGTAATTAAATTACGATTGGGATAATAGGGCGGAGACCCCTCACCCTGCTTTGTAGTTGCCTATAGACTGCTTCTTGGTGGTTGACAGCACGATTTCTTGATTTTTTTGTTTTGATTTTTTTTTTTTAAATAGTTAATATTGCTACTATTTGAGGCTAGATTCCACTTCTAAAGGCAAGCCCCAGCCAACATCACTGCAGTTGGGTCACGATCCAAGAGCAGGCTTTGGCTTGTATCGCTTTCACGTGAGCGTCTTTTGGGACTGAGTATTCCTGGACTTGCTGAAGTACCGTGGTGCTGCCCAGGGTGCCGGGCTTGGCCACTATTTCAGTTTTTCTTCTTGAAACGACAACTACAAGTTGTTGCCAAGTGGGAATCTGCCCCAGTGGCCCTTGAGTTTGTTGGTTGTGGGGGTCTTTTTAAGATTTATACCTACAAGCTTTTTAAATATGGGAAATTGAGTGGAAAATCCTGTAAGCTGGTTATAATTCTATTTTATGATACTTATTTTAACAATTTTTTGACATCTTTTTTGTTGCTTGGAAGGATTTATCTGGCTGCTGGAAGCATCTGTACAAGTCTGAGTTTTCTGAGGTAGCACTTTGTCATTTCTAAGGACAAGTGGATGTTTTTAAAGTAAGAAATGTACCGTTTGTTAAATATAACTGCAGATAGCGTAGGGAAGTCAGATTCAAAGTAGACGCCAAGCCTTTTTAGGCTTTCTGAAAAAGGATAAGCATCACAAAATTTACAGAAGGAGGTAGACGACGTGTCTGTGTCCAGCAGGTACCCACAGTCACATCTAGTGTGTCAGGAAATGAGTGACATCTGATTTATTTTTCCTCCCTACTAAGGGGGTGCTGGCTCTGGCTTTAGGAGCGTGCAAATCGCGCAACTGACGGTGCAGCTTTTCTGACCCTGAGGGCCAAAGCACCATGATTTTGTGTTTTGCCGATTACCAACGCCTAGCTTATTACACAGCACTTTGCTTCCAACACTTCACTGGCGATGCATTGCAGCATTTAAACACAGATTTGTGAGAGATGGGTGAACGTCTGCAGAGCGTCTGCTAAAACTCAGCTTCCTGCTCTCCAGCACTCAGTTTTGAACCAAGTCTTCAGAGTGCGATTTTTTGGGGGGGTTTTTTCCTCATGTTTTCATGTAGCCGAAGCTTGCTGTGGGGTTGTTTTCTGTGACTGAAAACAGTAACTTAGAACCACACCGTCCCAAAGACCGAGCCTGCAAACTGCAGGGTTTTTACAGGACCTACAGCAAAATAAGAAGATAACCCAAGTGCTACAGCGTGCCTGCACCCGAGCGCCCCAGCTGCCTGCCACGGCCAGGAACCGCGGGAGAGGAGGCCTCTCCAGGGTGGGCAGTGAAGCTGCTCCCCTGGGGGCCGCTCCCGGGTCGTGCCCACGGGTGGGCTCCTTCCTCTCCTCGCTGCAGCGAGCCAGCCCGCTCCTGCGATTCGCTAAACCAGGGCAGAAAGTGCTGCTCCAAATACGTGACTCTGCTTTTTATGTAATACTGCTTACTACAGCAAAACTTCAACTGCATCATTAGTAAGAGCTGCTGACGCTATTTTTACATAAAAATTGAAACTGCTGCTGCTAATCAAGTGGACCTGAGCAATTCTTAACGTTCTTCATTTTTTTTCTGAAGAAGAGCAGCCAGGTTTGAAGGCGAAGGGAAGCAAGGGGATCTCTCCTTAACTGCTGTGAGTGGGTCTGGTTTGGGAATGTCAGCACGATACAGGAGGGGAGAGAAGCTGCTCTTGAAGGGCAGTTTTCCACCCTTTGTGCCCCTGTGCAATCAAATTGTGAAGTTCACGGCTTTCCTCAGTGCAGATTTCAGCCGCAGAAACCTTCAAACTTCTATAAATGCAAATCCTAATCAATGCTCCTGTACCAACGGCTTTAAGTACCAGTTCAGAGCAACAGCCGTAGTTACTCATTAAATAAGCCTGGTCCCCTTTTCCCCAGCAGCCATCAGACGGCCACTTGCTGTGATCCCAATTCTCCCACCCCTTCTGAGCATGTTTGGGAATGAGTAGAGAGGGATTGTCTTTTTTTTTTTTTTTTATTTTTTCCCCATTATAATCTGTGTCTCTGACCCCTCACACTGACTCGGTGGTCAGTTCCTCCTTTACACTTCTGTGAAGCCCCTGCCTGCAGCCTGCCGGGATTCATTCCCTCTTGGATTTCTCCCCCGTTGGGGCTCTGTTGCGGTGACCATCCCCGCTGGGACTTCACTGGCCAGCGGCTGCTGCGGTGTGAAAAGCCCCAGCTACGCCTCTGCCCTGCCTGGCGCGCGGCCTCGCGGTGCGCGCGTGCCGGCTCAGCTGCGCGGCTGCTTCTGTGAGCCAGGAACCTGGAAATAACGCGTAAAAGGAGTTGGGGATTTCGCTTCCCACGCCTGTTGAAGTCTTTTCGTGTGCGTGCTGGGATCTTGTACCAGAGTTAAATGAAACGCTACGGTGTTTTGGCCGAGGTGTGAAATACTGTGAATGAAGAAATTGCCAAAATCATTCCCGGTAGCGTACAGCCCGCAGCTTGCACTCAGCGTATCGCTTGCCTTTGCCTTTAGATTACAGGAATTACTCTTGGCCGTGAGCTTGAGCTGACCAGTGCAGCATTTCAAACACCTGTGAAGAAATCTCAGTGATACCAGGAGGCAGCTCACTGAAATTCCGACGACCTTGTGTGACTTTGCTCTGGAATGCTCATGTTAGTAGCTTAGCCATGACTTGTCCCAAGTGCAATATTAGAAATTTTTAATGTAATCTTTTCTACTTGAATACAGTCTATATAAAATGTTAAATATTCTATATTGCTGAAAAGATACGGGATCAAATTTCTTTCCAATAAATCTTCAAATTAAAAAAACTACGCATACAGGTCTGCTTTGTTGTCACAGGTACTGCGAAGCCTCGTTGAAATAGCAGCCGCCATCCTCCATTAGCTGATTTTTAAAGACAGTCCTTGCAGTCTGCTTCCTGAGAATCGGCCTGAGGTTAACTGCGCTTGCTGCTGTCTGAGCCCAGCACTTCACAAATGAAGAAATCCAGGTGTATTTTAAGTTGCAACCTTCTGAAATAAGAAACTTCTGTGCAGCTTCTCTCCGTTTCACCAACTGACCAAGGGTCGAGTTCTTGTTTTTCTTGGTTTAGACACAAAGAACCTTCTCACCTGGCTGTATTCACTCGCCCAAGCGTGACGCTGGCTGCAGCCCGAGCAGGTTGTGCATGCGAACGGTTTCTGTTGGTGAGAGATGTACTAAAGCTCTGGAAAGCTGAAAAGCAAAATTTAACATCTGAAACGCACTGACAACCACGTACGCAGCAGGCTTGGCTACAGCAAAAGCCGTGCCAGGCAGGCACGCGGTACTTCTGCCCTCCTCCGCTGGCACTTCTTACCCCAGCCGTCAGCCCCCGACCGAATCAAAGGAGGTTTAAGGTGTCAGGGCTTCCAGAGGCGTCTGTGAGGCAGAAGCTGACACCAGCAGGTCCGCTTGCGGTGCAGGTTCCTACGGCGTGGTCTTCCGAAGCAACAGACAGTCTAACTGCGCTCAGCTAGCAAGCTCTGAATGTTCACAGCAGTAACTGTCTGCTGTCACGAAATCAAAGCGGGAATAAAAATGTAAATGCCTCATTTTTATTTAGGTGGTGCTTTGAAATGCGTTGTTTTGAAAACTGGAGCTATCTACAGAAAAAAGCTTAAGCATTTCTAATTCCAGAGGATGGGTAGTGCCCGTCACAATCAACGAGTGCAGCGGCCCGCCCAATTCCACTGTGGCCATCTCAGACAGCGGGCCTGAAGCAATCTTCTGGTCCGGAGCGCCCACGCGTGCGAGGCCAACACAAATCGTGCTTTCAGTAATTTCTGTAAGGAAGAAGATTAAATGCTTGATTTATTGACTAACGGTCCTATCATAAAAGACAAAGTACTCAAAACGTGCTTAAACCTGAACCCTGCTTTCTTAAAACTCCAGTTCCTAAGTGATTGGAGCGGCCCAGAAGCAGTTTGTTCTTCCAGGCACATGAAGCTGCAGCTAAGGGAGGCCTCTAGGCGAGAATGGGAAGGCAGCAGACGTAGAACACAAAATCCACTCAGGAGTTGTGTTCACTCTGAGGAAGCTGCTGCTCCCGATTCACACTCTAACGGATAAAATGAAAGAGATTTTCATGGTAACAGTTTTAAGGCATAAACTTTTAAAAGGAGGACTATAGCTCGATGAATTTCTATTGGAAAGAATTTTTCTGTGACGCAGCTGAGCCATCGCTCCAGCCGCTGCGATTTCAGCCTTGGTCTCAGTAAACATCTTTCACAGTTTGCTCTCGACTAGCGCTAAGAATTCAAGGTCAAAATCACAGTTCTGCATCGTTGGGTTAACCCAGATTCACGCGGGTATTCACATAGAGCAGAGCGCAACCAGACTAAACAAAACGTAGCAGAGATTTTCTTTTTTGAGGCTCGACTGATCTAAAACACTCAGAATCCTTCTGCCTCCTGCAACTCTAGCGGATCAAAGCGCTCGCAGATGAAGAGGGATAGAAACGGCGCAAGGGTCACCAAATGGAAAACCTCCAGGAGCCACCGGTGCTCGTTCCTCCGCGCTCCCTGAGCGACACCGTGTTCAAGCACTGCCAAATCCATCTCGTGACTAGGATTTAAGGCAGCCGGGTTCCGCTGCGGAGCAAGAGGATGCTGAGCTTGAGAGGGAGGGAGCAGCATTGAGGGGCTCGCCGGGAAGCGTGACCCGAGAGGGGCTGGAGCGGATAGGAATGGCGCAGTGACGGTACCTGGCTCTGCTCCCTGGAGCCTCCTGCTTGCAATAATGGCAAGAAGCTGTTCCGCAGCTTGATTCACGCTCATGTAGCGTGGGGGCTCGTAAATCTTCCTTCCTCTGCAGGGAAAGAAAAGCAGAGAAGTTGCACACATAAGCCTCTCTGTTATCCCTAGCGTTCTCCCAGTTTATTTCAAGAAGCCTCCAGCCCAGCAAATTGAACTTAAACAGGCCCAGGCTCTCCGGCTGGGCCTTTTAGACAAGAGTGGAGTTTTTAGGGGAGACAGAAGGCTCTTGTGCTCTCAGCACACCTATGCAAGGGCAGGGCCTCTGGCCGGCAGGTCCCGCGAGGCCTAAAAGCAACTGCAGCTGCTGGAAGCAATATGCAGGTTTTGCAGATGCATTAGACTTAAATTCAAGGGCAAACTACTGTTTTTCTGGCAAATGCCCTGTAGGCAGCTGATTACAGACTGGAAATACCTTCTGAACTGAAATGCTGCTTGCTTTGCCAACTGTGGATTCAGTCAAACAGATTTTATTTTGAAACTCCAGAATAAACAAACCTCAATGATACTGTGAGGCTTCACGAATGTTAATTTAGGCCGGCGTTACAGCATGCGTATAAAGTAACCATTTATATTTGCCACTGTCAAAACATACAGATTGCAGAGAGGTGGTTACGATGTGGCAGGAGCTTTGTTGAATACAGTTAAATGAACTTCAAAGCCTTTTCTAGCTCTTGCTTCTTTAGCTGCTTCTAAGGGGTGGTATGCATTCAGCACTTCACACTGCTCCT